CTGGTATGTTGGAAGGTTGGAAGACATCTAAGTCACTGCTGGAAGAGGGGAGCAGGTTGAGCTGAGCTGATGAGACAGCAACTTGAACAACTTTAGTGCTTCTGCTGTAAACCTTGAGAATTAATTGCTTCACGGTGCCTTCAGCTACAGAGGTCAGTAAGGGCTTGCTTTAAAGATCATTTACTGCTTATTAATGATATGTACAAAAACTTGAATGTCTATATCCTATCCACAGGTTTATTTTAAGCTAAACTTCCTCCATTACAGTTATCAGTTGTTGAAGTCAGATGGACTTTACATTTTCTCTGCAGCTCACTTGTGTTATGTATATAGAAAGAGATCTTGTCTTTGATAGACACCAGATATATGCCAAATGATCTCCAATCCCCGTGCCAAGTCTTAACATTTTCCATTATGTGTTTTTCCAGGTTGACAGCTTTTACGTCTTATCTCCCACTAATTGTTACACTGTCAAAGTGAAGAGATTGTTTCAGCTACATGACTGGATGCCCTTGAAATGAACTGTTTCAGTGGGCATATTGAAAAATCCTTTAATCCATGTTAGTTAGTCATTAGAACTTTGTGTACAGTTGGAGAAACAGACAGATAGGTGTGATGACTAAAATATATATATATATATACAGTATATAGATATAATTTTATATTACCTGTACTGTATGTACAATAATAAAGACTCTTATGTGTGTTTCAGGAAACGCTGGTTACCTTTTACACCAGCCTACAGACCTAGATATGCAATTAGGAGAGGAGACACAGCACAGGAGACTGGAGCAAAGTGCTGAAAGGCGGATCGCTCGGAAGTTACAGTGTATCGGAGATCAGTTCCATCGACTTCACTTACAAAGGGTAAATTGTTCATTTTTATGATAGTTTCATCAATCAAATGCTTCTCAATGCAACCTTTTAAAACCCTATTTGATTTATAATGTTCTACTATATTAAAGTGCTAAACCTACCGAATTAACTGATTCCCAAAAGAAAGCTCAAGTTAGAAATGTTTAATACATGTGAATAAATCCCTAATCAAACATACCAATGTGGTGTTCTGCAGCTGCTGTATGTGCATTCTGCTTATTAGCACATGCACAGTGTATCCTACATACAAGGCATGTCTCTGGTGTGCTCATGTCATCTCTGCACCAATCGTTCAAGCTCCCAAATGGCTAGTGTCATAGCTGGTCACTTTTGCAGCTCCATGCCAACTTCAGATATAAATAAAAGGTGGAACTGTCCTTGGCTGATAGGAGACTAGCAGGGAGACTAGGAGACTTGGTATGTAGGCTCCTCCTACATACTAAGAGCCAAATGGAATATTCAATATGTTAGGTATTGAAGATTGTATTGGCTGGAAATGGTAAAGTTTTTCTGATCAGGTGGGTTTTTTAGGGATTATTTACATTTCTAACAGTTGACTAGATCACTGTAAACCAGAGATTTCATCAGAATGGAGGTTGAGTAAGGATTGTTAGACATGTGTCCGGTGTTTGGGTATTTAAAGCCCAACTGCAACCAAATCTTTTTTGTTGTGGTATTGGGTAGAATGGGGAAAGGCTAGATCCTCTGCTGGGTTTTAATGCTGTTTGTGTATCTGTTGAGGAGGTTTCTCATCACTGCCCATGCTACTTGACAACCATCACCTGGGCAGAAAGTGAGGGAAGTTTACCTCAAAAGTGAGTCATACAAGTAACAGAATTAGTGAAGCATGAATATAATTTTTGGAGAGTCGATAAAGAGGTGCAGGTAATGAAGACAGACGGAAGTTATATACTATATGGGTGTAGCATCAGCATTAACAAGGGTTTAGAGTTGAAAGTTCTGCTTTCAGGCAAGACAAACATGAGCTACAGTCATCAAAATAAGACATTTTAAGAGCTTCTGCTGGGATGGTGGCTTATGTAAAGGAATAGAGTGTGGGGATCCTCCTTGCTCAGAATTTTCTCAGATGGCCCCCTCTTCACCTTGCGTCCTTAGTTGTACCATATAAAAATTCAAAATAGAAGGTCACTCGCACTCCAAAAGCGATGCCAAGTCAATCTCTTTTTTGACTATAAAAGTGTAACATCTCATAGCTCTGGGATGTTACACTTTTATAGTCAATAAAGAGATTGACTTGGCATCGCTTTGGAGTGCGAGTGACCTTCTATTTTGAATTTTTATATGGTCTGTTGAGGCATCTGCTGTCACTGCCGCACCCACCCTGCCTTTGGGTTTGCTTCCGGTCAGGAGTGCGATGGGACATACTTTGGCTTAACTTAGTTGTACCATGTTTCTTTGTTACCAGCATTGGGATGCAAACTCTACATTCCGGCTGTGCTTGCTTTGGGTACAATACAATAATTACCTTGATTGAGAGGGTAAGGGTTTAGAGTCTGTAAGTAACCCTTAACACCGGTAATGGGACAGTGTTTCTCATATTATTTTAGGCATTATTTAATGTAGGAACAGATTGGTTGAAGATATGAATTAAATAAATATGTCAATAAATCAGCAACGTTTTGAAGGATGTTGACTATAATACAGAGTAAACTATTTCTGGCCAAAATGTAATGCTGCCCTTCTCCATTAAATATATCACTATACAATGTTAAATTCAGAAGCTTTCCTCACCCCAGCACAGTAGAGTATATAGTGAACGACATGCTTTTATATAGTCGTTTAAATGAATGTCAGAGTTTATAACTTCTCTTTCTGTCCGCTGCAGAATTGTACTTTTTTATCTGCTCAAAAATCAGGCAGCTGCAGAACAGGTTTTACAGAAATCTGACTCTTTTCTGTCATTACGCAATGTTTTAGCCCTGTCACTTTTTGTTAGGAAAGAAAATGGCTAGGAGGCGGGGGTCACAAAGAATGGCGCACGTCCAATGTTTTACCAAAAAAAAAAACCATAGGGAAGGTAAAATGAAATGCACTCCTCCCTGTTCTGTATATTCTGGCTCTGGTTAAACACTGTTCTGTCAGATTAAATGTAACCAGAGGGCATGTTGATGTAGCTAGCTGTTTAGCTCTATTAACAACTGACAAGGCAAGCTGTGATCTCACTTTTTTAACTGAACATTAAACTCCTATCTGTACTTTACTGCTGTAACCTGTAATTAACTGGACTTTCAAGAAATCAATGTTTACAGATAGAGGCACGCTACCTGTATGCTGGTCATACACATATCAGGTTTCAGGCAATGATAGCGACAAGCTGTTGGTTGAAAAACAACCAAATGAATCAAGACCACCTGCTACCAGTTTTTTACATTTTCAAAAGGAAGTGTGGTTTGTAGGTTGCATGGAGTCCTTCACTTGTTTCTGTGATAGATGTTTATTAAAAAGGGTTGAAAATGCCTGGATATTGCCCTGAGTATCACCAGCAATTTTTTTTAGAATTTGCCTAAAGGTGTTCATAAACATGCATGTTCACTTTGAAGCAACCTTTCTCAACCAGGGTTCCTCCAAAGGTTGCTAGGGGTTCTTCAGCATTATGCAATTTCTGCTTCTCAGATATGTAACCACTGATTGCAATAATCCTCTTAGCTATTTGTAAATGGGGCATTATTTCCCACTAACTATCTATGTAAGGAGCATTCTTCCCACTAAAGAGCATTCTTCTCACCAACCGCCAATGTGAGAAGCATTTTTTCCACTGGCCACCAATGTATGGAGCATTTGTCCACTGACCATCAATGTAATGAGCATTCCTCCCACTGATCACCAATGTAATAAGCATTTTTCCCACTGACCACCAATGTAAGGAGCATTCATCCACTGCCCAACTGTGTAGTGGGACCATTCTCCCACTTAACACTTGTGTAAGAGGCTGTTCGCCCAAGGACCACCAATGTAAGGTGAACCGTCTTCCATTGACCACCAATCTAATGACCACTAATGTAAGAGAACACTACAGTTTTAACTGTTTGTAGTTATTTTCTGGCCTTTCTTATTGTTTATTCAAAGGTCTCAAGTGGGCTGTGCGGGGTCCCTGGCATGTGCGGGGTCTCAAGTGGGCTCTGCAGGATCTCGAGTGGGCTATCCAGGGTTTCAAGAGGGCTGTGCCCGGTCTCTGGAGGGCAGTGCGGGGTTTAAGGAGGGCTGTGCGGGGTCTCAGGAGAGCTGTGTGGGGTCTCAGGTGGGCTGTGTGGGGTCTCAGGTGGGCTCTGCAGGGTGTCAGGTGGGCCCTGCAGGTCCTCTGGTTCGCCCTGCAGGGTGTCGGGTGGGCTCCAAAGGGCCTCTGATGGACTGTGTGGGGTCTATGATGGTACATACAAAATTTTGCTATGGGGCCCTGTGATTTCTAGTTACGCCCCTGGTCTGAAGTATATATGGTTTTCCCTACATTCCTGTCTGGTAGTTATACCCTCTGATTTAATATCCAAACAGAACAAGTGTGATACTTTCAGGGCTACATCTGCACATAATGGCCCTCATTGCTTCTGATATAAATGACCAACACCCATACACTTCTGAGATCATTTAGAATTCGCTAACAGATGCATTTGACCTGTAGTTCACTTCCATCTGACCTGTATTTGACCTGCTGCAAGCAGAAGAATGAAGAGTAGTTAGAAGACTTATGAACGTACAAAGTATGAAATCATCTTTCCTTTCCTTTCTCTTGTTTGGTTGTCAGTACAGTAGTTGTCCCTATAAAGCAGATCCCATCATAGTGCATTGTAACATTATGCTATTAATAAAATAAACAGATGGCACAATGAACAGATTTACAAAAGGGTGTCATAATCAGAAAATCCCATTTACTATTTCTGATGCACTCTCCAATAAACTCCAACAGGGCACGGAATAGAGGTGCTGTAAAACCCTTGAGAGGCATATGAACTACATTGCATCCTGCAGAATTTGCCTCTGGTTGTACCCAGGAAATAAACAATGGGCATAATTTAGACTGCATCTTGCCAAACTGAGTGAACTTCCTCTTTTTATATGTTTCTTCCCATGTTAATGGGAAGTTTAAAAGGAACCTTGCTAAAAAATATATATTTGATCATACTGTCTTGTGACAGGAAAACAGGTTAATATAATGTATTTAATAAAAAAAAAAAAACGTAAAACAGTAGTTTAGCAAAAAAGAAAGCCATGCCAATTGTTTAAGATACATAGTGCTTTAGAAAACTCAGTGTCATCCAATTAGGTGTATAGGGTGACATATCAGAGGACTGGCCCTGCTTTGTTGAGCAAGGTTGTCCATGGTAACCTACTAATTATGACTGATAGCTAGAAGTAGTTTGTCATATTTAACTGGATTTATTCTGTTTGTTGAAGACGTTTCATAGGTTATTCAAGCCATTTCTTCAGTTCTAATGGATGTCATGAAAATACCACACATTTGGTTATATCCACACAAGTAGCACAGGCACCCTAATCCAATCACCATGGGAAGGCAGACATTACTGTCCAAAAAGGATTGCATGTATGGAACCACCCTGTTCCAGTTACATAATCTCATCCTTGGTGCCAGGAAGGCTTCATAAGTCTTAATCCTTCGATTTGCATGGCTGAAGGTGTAAATTGTTGTCAAAATGCCAGGCTAGAGATGTTAAAATGTTCCAATTTATTTTTATTTGTTTTTACAATAAATACATAAAACATTCACAACATACCATACTAATTACATAAAACACTTAAAACATACAGCTCTGGTGATGCATAGCGTTATTATTTACGGGTTTTCATTTGGTGTCCTTCTCCTTATAGTACTCATTTTCCTAGTAATATTTTTACATGATAAACATTCATAGATAAAACCCATCCCTCTTAACGGTATATCACCGGACCATATATACCACTTAACAATAACCAAGATTGGCAAAAACCAAAAACACCCACACAACAAAAACAAAAAA